AAGAAATAAAGCATTTCCTACAACTCAATGAAAATGAAAACACCTCACAAAGAAACTTGTGGGACACAGCAAAAGCAGTCCTGAGGGGCAAATTTATTGCCCTCAGTGCCCACATCAAGAGAATGGAGACAGACCAAGTAAATAATCTCATGTTGCAACTAAAACAGCTAGAAAAACAAGAAAAAATGGGACCTAAAGCTACTAGACGAAGCCAGATAACCAAATTGAGAGCAGAGATTAACCAATTAGAAAATCAGAAAACCATAACCAAAATAAACCAAACAAAAAGCTGGTTCTTTGAAAAAATAAACAAAATTGATGGCCCGTTGGCAAGATTAATTAAAAAAAGAAGAGAGGAAACCCATATTAATAGGATTAGGGATGCCACAGGAAACATCACAACACGTACCCAAGATATCCAAACAATTCTAACAGACTACTTTCAAAAGCTATACTCTCTAAAGGAAGAAAATCTGGTGGAAATGGATGCATTTTTAGAGAAATACAAGTTACCCACACTGAGCAAAGAAGAAGTTAACCAATTAAATAAGCCAATATCCTATAATGAGATACAGGAAGCTATCAAAAGTCTTCCAACAAAAAAAAAGCCCAGGACCAGATGGATTCACAGCAGAATTCTATAAGACCTTTAAAGAAGAACTAATACCCATACTCCTCAAGCTCTTCAGAGAAACAGAGAAGGAGGGAGCTATCCCAAACTCATTCTACGAAGCCAATATCACACTCATCCCCAAACCAGGCAAAGACCCAACCAAAAAGGAGAATTACAGGCCAATTTCCTTGATGAACACAGATGCAAAGATCCTTAACAAGATTCTAGCTAACAGAATCCAGAAACACATAAAAAAAATAATACACTATGATCAGGTAGGCTTCATCCCAGAGACACAGGGATGGTTTAACATACGTAAGTCAATAAATGTAATCCAGCATATCAACAGAGCCAAGGTCAAGAATCACATGATTATCGCCACAGATGCAGAAAAGGCCTTTGATAAAATTCAACATTCATTCATGCTAAAAGCTCTGGAGAAAATAGGAATAGAAGGAACATTTCTAAAAACAATAAAAGCCATTTATGACAGACCAATAGCCAATATTATACTTAATGGGGAAAAGCTACAACCAATCCTCCTAAAAACAGGAACAAGGCAAGGATGCCCACTGTCTCCACTCCTCTTCAACATAGTCCTAGAACCCTTAGCCAGGGCAATAAGGCAAGAAAAAGACATTAAAGGGATCCGCATAGGGAAAGAAGAAGTTAAACTATCCCTTTTTGCAGATGACATGATACTATACCTCCACGATCCCAAAAACTCCATCCTCAAACTTTTAGAAATCATAAGTCACTTCGGCAAAATAGCAGGATACAAAATAAACCCACAAAAATCAGTTGCCTTCCTATACACTGGTAACGTAAAGGAAGAGAGGGAAATAAAGGGAGCAACCCCATTCACAATAACCTCCCAAAAAATAAAATATTTAGGAATTAACCTAACCAAAGATGTAAAAGAACTATTTAATGAGAACTATAAAAAGTTAAAGAAATTGCAGAAGACACTAGGAAATGGAAAGACCTCCCATGCTCCTGGATAGGCCGACTTAATATAGTAAAGATGGTGATACTTCCAAAACTAATATACAAATTCAATGCAATTCCTATTAAAATCCCAATGACGTACATCACTGAAATACAGAAAACAGTCCAAAAATTTATATGGAACAACAAAAGACCTAGAATAGCCAAAACAATTCTAGGGGATAAAGACAATATGGGAGGGCTATCCATGCCGAACTTCAAACTCTACTACAGAGCTATAATCACAAAGACAGCATGGTACTGGCACAAAAACAGACCCGAAGACCAATGGAACAGAATAGAAGATCCAGATATAAATCCACAGGCCTACAGCCAGCTGATATTCGACAAAGGAGCCAAAGACATACAATGGAAGAAACACAGCCTCTTCAACCGCTGGTGCTGGGAAAACTGGGCAGCCACATGCAGAAAACTAAAAGTGGACCCCAGCCTATCACCATGCACCAACATCAACTCAAAATGGATTAAAGACCTTAACATTAAACCTGAATCTTTGAAATTACTGCAGGACAGAGTAGGAGAGACACTTGAACTAATAGGCACAGGAAGGAACTTCCTGAACAGAGTCCCAGGGTCACAAGAAGTTGGAGAGAGACTCGACAAATGGGACTACCTTAAAATAAAAAGCTTCTGTACAGCTAAATCTATCGCAACTAAGCTAGAAAGACAACCAACTAATTGGGAAAAAATATTTACCAGCAATATATCAGACAAGGGGTTAACATCCTGTATATACAGGGAACTCAAGAAACTAATCCCTCCCAAACCTAACAAACCAATTACTAAATGGGCAAGGGAACTAAAGAGGGACTTCTCAAATGAAGAAATAAAAATGGCAAAGAAACACATGAGGAAATGTTCATCATCCCTGGTGGTGAAGGAAATGCAAATAAAGACAACCCTGAGATACCACCTTACCCCAGTCAGAATGTCCCACATCCACAAATCAGCCAACGACAAATGCTGGAGGGGATGTGGAGAAAGAGGAACCCTATTACACTGCTGGTGGGAATGTACACTTATACAACCACTTTGGAAAGCAGTCTGGAGGGTCCTTAGAAAGCTAAAGATTGACCTCCCTTACGACCCAGTCATACCACTTCTAGGCATCTACCCTGAACAACAGGAACCAATATACAAGGACACGTGTACCTCCATGTTTATTGCAGCACTGTTCGCAATAGCTAGGATATGGAAACAACCTAGATGCCCCACCACAGATGAATGGATCCAAAAATTGTGGTATCTATACACAATGGAATATTATGCAGCCATTAGAAATGACAAAATAATGGCATTTGCAGGGAAATGGATGGAGCTAGAAGGAATCATGTTGAGCGAGGTAAGCCAAGAACGAAGAGACAAACGGTACATGGTCTCCCTGATAAGTGGATGCTAAATCCAAAAGGTTAGGTGATACGACAAAACTAACAGGACTTAAGAAACAAAGAACTCCCGCTCATCTAGTTGAACCACTACTAAATATCCCCATGCTGCTGATCACAAATATGGTATATAACATGTGAACACTGTTATATATTACAGACTGTGGTAGACAATTTGGTCCAGGGAAGTTAGAATGAACTTGTGACTTTGAAATTATGTAATCATTTAATCACAATCAAAAAAAAAAGAACCTCGGGGAAGGGAGGGAGGGAGGGGATGGTAGGGGGAAAACAATGGAGGGGGTAACAATGTTCAAGAGGAAGTGTACTCATTACCTCACTCATGTAACTGTAACCCTCTGTATAGTAGCTTTACAATAAAATAAAATTAAAAAAAAAAAGAAAGAAAGGTAGTGATAGAATATGCTAAATTTGGAAATTCTAAGAATGCACGCTTCCATTCTGGTGATATATTTTAAGATTAGCACAGTTAGCTTTACTATTTATGTAGAAGACATAAGGATGTGTATTCATAGATAAAATTCACTAGTGCTATTCTGCAGTAAGGGTGAATAGTTATCTTAAATTAACATCTTCAGTTTATACAAAGTATGCTTGCTTGAGCTTTGTGTCTTTTAAAGTAACACTGGCTGGAAAATATGTGGAAGCTAGATTTAGCTTAGAAATTATAAGTAAATACATTGTGGGGTATGAAAGTGTATGCAAAAGAATTAACTGAAATACTGTAAATTCAAGGGAGAACTCTAATTCCTTAGAAAAGCAAAGTCAAAGTTCAACAAAACAAAACACCAGGAAAGGGGTACTTGAAAGGGGATAGTGTGAGGTCTAGGGGAAAAGGTAGATGAAGAGGAGGAGAATGCAGTCAAGAATTCCATGTATATCTTACACAAGAAAGATGAGTGAGGGAAGGGGTGGGAAGGGAATGGATGGGTGAGAATGTTGAAAGGGGTGATATGGGTCAAAATGCATTGTATTCATAAACTGCTTTGTTAAAGGACAACTTCTTTGTACAAGTTTTTTTTTTTTTTGTAAAGTTGTTCAGAGCTGGGCACCGGTGGCTCACGCCTGTAATCCTGGCTACTCAGGGGGCTGAGATCTGAGGACCATGGTTCAAAGCTAGCCAAAGCAAGAAAGTCCAATTAACCACCACAAAACAGGAAGTAGAGGTGCTAGCCTTAAGCCAAAGAGCTTAGGGGCAGCGCCCAGGTTCTGAGTTCAGGCCCCACGACTGACCAAAAAAAAAAAGCGAGTCGTGCTTCCAAGGGGAATCAGGGAAGAGATGACGGTGAACCGGCAGGGTCGGAAGCCAAACTATCAAACCGCACCTGGGGTGTAGGAACCTCATCCCTCTCTAGAGGCCATACCGATTCTTGTACAGACATTTCCTCCACTGTATTCTCTTCGCGGCTCTCCTCAAAGTCCCTATTCCCCTCTTCCAAAAGCGGTCACCGTGTGTGGCGGTCTGTCCACGGCCGGCCAGACCCGCTCCTCCAGAGCCCCGTCCAAACAGCTGCGGGGGAGCGGAGCTGCGGTCCGGCGATCGCAGCCGCAGTCGCCCCCGCTCGAGAGGATGGCCCGCCCGCGGGGGGCAGCCTCGCCGACGACACCCGGTGGACTGGCTGTCGGGCGCTCCGCGGGCCCGGCGCGCTCCACCCGGCGGTAAGGCCGGGGCCCCGGTGTCATGGCAACCGGTTAGCACAGCGCGGCCCCGCCCAGCAGCGCGCGCGCGCGCGCCGGCGGCGTTTGTGCGCGCGCGCGGAACACCGCGCGGAACACCTCGCGGGACGGGCTGCGGCCTCGGGCCTGGAGAAGGCTGGGGACCTGCACCCGGGATTTGGGGTGTTTCACCGCCTACGGGGAAGAGAACGCGTGTCCCGCTCTCCGGCTCGGCTGAGAAGATGAGCACGGTAACTAACGCTCGTCCCGGGCGCGCTTTCCGCGCTCCGCGTCTCCGGGGGTGGGGGCGTCCCGCGCGGCCGCGAGGTCGGGAAGGGGCGGGGCTCGGTGCGCTGCGCCCGCCCCGGAAGCAGAGGTGGAAGCCCACGGAGCCCTCCCTCTGCCGAGTGGCTGCTTTGCGATGCCTGTCCCATTGAGCGACTTCCACGCACCGAAGATGCCTTCCGTGAGGGAAGCGAAGGAGGAGGTCCTTCTAGCGACGCAGGAGGCCAGCTTCTGAGGATTGCAGGCTCGAGGCCAGCTGGGGTAGACAAGCTCGGGAGACTCGCCAGTTAACCAGCAAAATGCCAGACTGGAGGTAGAGCGCAAGTGGAAATAGCCGAGCGCGAGAGTTAGGACCCGAGGTTGAAACCCCCAGTCGCCGGGTCTCACCTCCCGCTCCCCCTTGGCGGGCTTCTCTGCAGACCATGAAGTAGGAAGCGAGCCCTGGTCCCACTGCACTGCCGGCCGGCCGAGCCCACCTGTTCCTCAGCATGTGACCACCTCTCCGCGGTCTCTCCAAACCCGCCGTGTCCCTGATGGCCCCGCCCAAAGTCCCAAAGCAGGCACCACAGTCTGCCAAAGTAAGTACTTGAGTTTGCTGTGCAATCTTTGGTAACCGCGGGCCCCAACCTTCTAGGTTTTATCTACCATGCTACTTCTCTTATCAGAGAAGTCTGATAAGATAAAAAGCCGACCTGTAGCCCACCCTCGACTCACAGTTGTCTAGACGCCTCCTGCACCTGCCTCATCTTGGGCTATCGCTGTGCTTTTTAAGACTCAGCTTAGAAGGACCTCTTGTTTCCTATTGCTTCTTCAGCATCCATCCCACAGCCATTTGCTCCTCACTTAAGGCACCTTAGAAAGCCTCACTCCTTCTCCATTAGACTGCAGTGCAGCCCAGCTTTTTTGCTATTTGTTTGAAGATGGAGTCTTGCGGAGTTTTCTGCCCAGGATGACTTTGAACCAAGATCCTCTGGATCTCAGCTTCCTGTGTAGCTAGAGTGACAGGGATGAGCCACTGGCTCCCCCTTAGGCTAAGTATTTCTTCCCTTATGCAGAGGCATTCCTGGGTTACTTCACAGGGTTAATAATTTCATTTTTCATCAAGGGCCCATGGAATGGAAGCTCTTGAAAGTTAATGGCTTCCTTCTGCTCCTTGGATAAAAGTCCATTGTGTTAGTTGACAAAGGTTGTAGGCCAGAGCTGTCTGAAAGGTCTTTCAGACCGAACTCTCTCTGACTATCCTAGTTAGCTATAAACTAACCACACTGATCTGGTTTGGTTTTGTTGTTGTTTGTTTTAGTCCCTCAACTGTCCCTGTTCTCTGCAACCTCAGTACCTTTGATTTGTCCTAATGGGACAAGTCTCACTCCTTAGAGACCCTTCCTTGCTGTCCCTCCTTGTCCTGTGCTGTTGTAATGCCATGTACTCCAGGGAAACTTTTTTCCCAGAATAGTGATCAGCAAATGTGTTTGTGACTATGTGACTGTCTTTTTCTTACTGGACTGTAAGCATCATGACAACAACCAGACAGCCAGATACACAGCAGATATCTGTGAATATTTGTTGACTGGATAAAGGCGGTATCTTAAAATTTAGAAAAGCAGACATCCATGCTTGCATTCTAAACCCAAGTCCTGCATTGCATCTGAATTGTAATCAATTCAGCAAATATTTATTCATGCCTGTAGTATGCCAGGTATTGGTCCAGAGAAGAGAATTTGGTAGTGAACTAATCGGCAAAACTTTCTCTTTTTTGGGGGGTCCGGTCATGGGGCCTGAACTGTGGGCCTGGACACTGTCCCTCAGTTCTTCAGCTCAAGGCTAATGCTCTACCACTTGAGCCACAGTGCCACTTCCGGCTTTTTTCTTTTTTTGGGGGGGGAGGATCTGGTTGTGGGGCCTGAACTCTGGGCCTGGGCGCTGTCCCTCAGCTCTTCAGCTCAAGGCTAGTGCTCTACCACTTGAGCCACAGCGCCACTTCCAGCTTTTTCCTTTTTGCTTATGTGGTGTTGAGGAATCGAACCCAGGGCCTCATGCATGCAAGGCAAGCGCTCTACCACTGAGCCACCTTCCCAGCCCCCGACTTTTTTCTTTATGTGGTGCTGAGGAATCAAACCCAGGGCCTCAGGCATGCAAGGCAAGCACTCTACCACTGAGCCACCTTCCCAGCCCCAAAACTTTCTTGTGTGTGGTGATGGTTCTTGTTTTTCGGTTCTGGGAATTGAACTCAGGGTTTCATACTCTAGACTGACTTTTTTTTTTTTTTTTTTTTGCTCAAGACCACTTCAACTATGCTTCTCCTTTTGGCTTTTTGTTGGTTAATTGGAGATAAGTTTCTCAGATTTGCCTACCTAGGTTGACTTAGTACCTGGATTCTCAGATCTCAGTCTCCTGAGTAGCTAGGATTACAAGTATGAGCCACTGAGCTCCCAACTCTAGGAAGAGGTTTTAAATAAACAGTATTGAATAGTGAAAAGAGCTTAGGGTAAGAGATAGACAGTGACACCTCAGGTCCAGGAACCTTGTTGGGGTGTACAGGTATGGAGAGGAGAGCATTGGTACCCAGCTTTGTCCTGGGACAGTACTGGTTTATGTTCATTTGTTTAAAGTGGCCTGGTTTGGGTAATATATGGTTACCTGAGTTCTAGGGAGGTTTTATTTTGGGTTATTGTTTTCTTATTTTCTTTTCTTCTTTTTTTTTTTTTTTTTTTTTTTGTGCCAGTACTGGGGCTTGAACTCGACAAGGGCACTGACTAGTTCTCTACTGCTTGAGCCACAGATCCACTTCTGGCTTCTGACTGTTAAACTGGAAATAAAGAGTTTCATGGACTTTCCTAGCCAGGCTGGCTTCGAATGGTGGTGATTCTCAGATCTCAGCCTCTTGAGTAGCTAGGATTAGTGGCATGAGCCACCAATGTCCTGCTAGGGAAGTTTTTCTTAGGAGGTGATATTTGAGCAGAAGCCACAACTCATACCCTTAAGTTACATGAAGGCCTTCGAGAACAAGGTGTGCACCAGGAAGAGCCTTGCAAGTTTGGGAACTAGAAAGAAGGCCCAGGTAGCTAGAGTTGAGTAGTCTTCCTCATGGAGTTTGAGGAGTTTTACATTGGGAGTTCTGTGCTTTGAGACCAGACAGAATCAAAAGCCATGGAATTCATTGAGCAGACCAAAGAGATGAATGGGCCCAGAAACTGAAAATGTTCACTCACTCAGTTTCCTAAGAGAATTATAGACATGTAGGTAATATGCAATGAATTTCATGTGTTTAAAATTAATGCAAGCTGGTTACAGGTGGCATCTGCCTGTAAGCCTAGCTACTTGAGAGGCTGAGATCTGAGGATTGCTGTTGGAAGCCAGCAATTACCTACCAAAAAGAAGTGGAGCTGTGTCTCAAGTAGTAGGTAAAGCACTAGCCTTGAGCAAAAAAGCTAAGGGAAGCCAGGTGCCAGTGGCTGAAATCTGAGGATCACGGTTCAAAGCCAGCCCAGGCAGGAAAGTCCATGAGACTCTTATCTCCAATAAACCACAGAAAACCGGAAGTGGTGCTGTCTTGAGTGGCAGAGTGTTCCCCTTGAGCTGAAGAGCTGAGGGACAGTGCCCAGGCCAACAACAGCCCCACAACAGACCCCCCCCCCAAAAAAAAAAAAGTTAAGGGAACAGCACCCAGGCTCTAAGATCAAGTCCCAGTACTGGCACAAAAACAAAGAACCCTAGCCGCTCCTTTGTATTATAATAGGCTATCAGACTCTTCTGGTTATTTTGAACATGCAGACTTCCTTATCAACACTTTTTAAATTTTTTTCATTTTAAGGTTCCCCCTATACTGAATGCGGAAATATGGAAAATGATGTCAAGGTTCTCAAAAGGAATGTTCTCATTCATATCTGCCCTTGTCTTTGAAAGCCAGATAAAGGGAAGAAAGGAGGAGGCAAGTCTCGTGGGAAGAAGCAGAAGCCGGAGGTGGACATCCTCAGCCCGGCAGCCATGCTGAACCTCCACTACATTGCCCACAATGCGGCTGACTGCCTTTACCTGCGGGGCTTCTCCTGGCCAGGCGCACCCAAAGGGAAAAAAGGGAAAAACAAGATTTAAGCGATGGAATTTGAGAGTATCTTATTACAGAACATCAGTGAGAGAAATCAGGAGAACACCGTGACTGCAGGCAAAATAGACTTTACCAGAGACACCAAGAAATGCGTGATCTGTGTACTCTGTGGTAAATGATGGTAAATGTGTTTCACTTCCTTGGCTAAGCTGGCTGTGGTTAGCCACTTTGGTTTTTCAGAACACTTAAGGGAGGGAAAAACCTGAGTGATTCTTACAACAGTGTGGTAGAATTGATAGGACTTTAAAACATAATTCTGGACCAGAATTAAACCTTGCTCTCAAAAGGAAATTCCACTTTGCATGACATGTCTTCTTTTTTTTTTTTTTTTACAGTATTTTCACAATAAAAATTTATTTAAAAAAGAGAGCCTAGCCGGGCGCTGGTGGCTCACGCCTGTAATCCTAGCTACTCAGGAGGCTGAGATCTGAGGATCGCGGTTCAAAGCCAGCCCGGGCAGGAGAGACCGTGAGACTCCTATCTCCAATAAACCACCAGAAAACCGGAAGTGGCGCTGTAGCTCAAGTGGTAGAGTGCTCACCTTGAGCTGAAGAGCTGAGGGACAGCGTCCAGGCCCAGTTCAAGCCCCACGACCGACAAAAAAAAAAAAAAGAGAGCCTAGTATAAGAATTATCTATCATACCTATATCATGTCCTTTGTCCAGACAGCACAGATGATTTTTTTTTTTTGGGTCCAGTCGTGGGGTCTGAACTCTGGGCTTGGGCGCTGTCCCTCAGCTCTTCAGCTCAAGGCTAGCGCTCTACCACTTGAGCCACAGCACTACTTCCGGCTTTTTTCTTTTTGCTTATGTGGTGCTGAGGAATCAAACCCAGGGCCTCAAGCATGCAAGGCAAGCGCTCTGCTGCTGAGCCACCTTCCCAGCCCCACAGATGATTTTTTTTAAAGGTGGGGGATAACTAACAGTTTCTTCACTGTAGGTCTTCTAAGTGGCTTTGCTATGCTAATACTCATTGCTGGGCTTTGATTTAAGCTGGAACTGCTAGGGGACAGGGAGATATGGGTAACCACTCTCCTCAGATTTTCAGCTGTCCTGTCTTGTTTCCTACCTGTTGATGCTACTGCCAGCAGGAGGTGACTAGGGCCTCTGTGTAACTGAACCACCATTAATTCTGAGTCAGACAAGCCTCAGAGCTCTGTCTCTCTGCCAGGGCCTATCAATAACTCTGTCTGCTCCTGTAGCATATGAGTGAAGAACTTGGGATGTGCAAGGGAGACAACTTTTCTTTCCTTCTTTTTTACTCTTAAGGTTGCCAGAATTTTTTTTTTTTATTTATTTTTTTGTTGTAACTCAATTTATTTTTTTCTAAATTTTTTATTGTAAAGATATTATACAGAGGGTTACAGTTAGATGAGCAAGGTAATAAGTACACTTCCTATTGAGCATTGTTACCCCCTCCATTGTTTTCCCCCTACTATCCCTTCCCTCCCTACCTTCCCCGAGGTTCTTTTTTTTTTTTTAGTTGTGATTAAGTGATTACATACTTTCTTTCCCAAATTTCACAGTATTGTGGAATAATGATGCTCATTTAAAGTTACAAGTTCATTCTAACTTTCCTGGGGCAAATTGTCTGTCACGGTCTATAACATATAACTGTGTACACATATACACCATACATGTGATCAGCAGCATGGGGATATTTAGTAGTGGTTCAACCAGATGAGTGGGAGTTCTTTGTTTCTTAAGTCCTGTTAATTTTATGACATGTCTTCTTTCACAAAAAGGTGTTTGTTATTTATGGAAAACTTGGCAAAAAAGCACATGCTTACTTATGAATATCTTTCTCCTAGGCATTGTTTTCTCTCTTTTTTTTTCCTACTACCAGAACATGAACGCAGGACCTCAAGCTATCTTGGTTTTCTTCTCTCTTTTTTTTGTTATTAAGAAGTTGTACAAAGGGGTTATAATTCTGTAAGTCAGGTTATGAGTATATAGACAGTACTTCTTAGTATTTATGAATACCTAGACAATACTTCTTTTTTATTTTTTTTTTATTTATTGTGAAAATACTGTACAGAGGGGTTACAATTTACATGGGCAAGATAATGAGTACATTTCTTATCAAACATTGTAGCCTCCTCCTTTGTTTCCCCTTCCCATCCCTTCCCATCCTCCCCCCCCACCCTCCCTTAGACAATACTTGTTAGTGTCACCCCTTTCTTCATTCCCCCATTTACCCCCTCCCATCCCTAACCACAAGTTACATAGTTCATTTTTTATACAGAGTTCATTGAGAGCTGGGCATGATGGCTCACACCTGTAATCCTTGCTACTCAGGAGGCTGAGATCTGAGGATCGCAGCTCAAAGCCAGCCCAGGCAGGAAACTCTGTGACACTCTTATCTCCAATAAACCACTAAGAAAACCGGAAGTGGCACTGTGGCTCAAGTGGTAGAGTGCTAGCCTACCACTGAGCTGAAGAGCTGAGGGACAGCACCCAGGCCCAGAGTTCAAGCCCCATGCCATGACCAACAACAACAACAAAGAGTACATTGAATACAATGAGATTGCATTTGCTAACCCTTCCTCTCTCCATTCCTAAGCTACCCCCCCCCCCCACACCACCTCCCCTGCCCAAAACCATGTTTCCATTTCCTGGTATTTGCCTTGATAAACAGTACTTTACTTGTTCAGAGGGGTTATGCCTTTTGATTTCTCCCTTAAATATAGCCTCCTTTAGCCAATTTGTGTGCAAATGCATTGAGTCCTATATTTGTTATCATGAATAGTTGTATTTTAGTTCTTACCTATTCTGATAAGTTCTAATGTTTCTCCTCCATCTTGTAGTTTCAAAGTTTCATTCTTTATGTTTTTTATTTGTTTTGCCAGTCCTGGGGCTTGAATTCAGGGCCTGAGGGCGCTGTCCCTGAGCCTCTTTGTGCTTAAGGCCAGCAATCTACCACTTGAGCCACAATGCCACCTCCAAAGTTTTATTCTTTTTTTTTTTTGGTCCGGTCGTGGGGCCTGAACTCGGCCTGGGCGCTGTCCCTCAGCTCTTCAGCTCAAGGCTAGGGCTCTACCACTTGAGCCACAGCGCCACTTCTGGCTTTTTTTTTCTTTTTGCTTATGTGGTGTTGAGAAATCAAACCCAGGGCCTCAGGCATGCAAGGCAAGCGCTCTACCACTGAGCCACCTTCCCAGCCCCAAAAGTTTTTTTTTTTTTTTTTTTTTTTTGGTCGGCCGTGGGGCTTGAACTCTGGGCCTGGGCGCTGTCCTTCAGCTCAAGGCGAGCACTCTACCACTTGAGCTACAGCGCCACTTCCGGTTTTCTGGTGGTTTATTGGAGATAGGAGTCTCACGGTCTCTCCTGCCCGGGCTGGCTTTGAACCGCGATCCTCAGATCTCAGCCTCCTGAGTAGCTAGGATTACAGGCGTGAGCCACCAGCGCCCGGCTAGCCCCAAAAGTTTTATTCTTATATTGAAGTCTTTGATCCATTTTGAGTTGATATTGGTGCAAGGTGACAAACAGGAATCCTATTTTAGTTTTCTACATATGGATGTCCAGTTTTCTCAGTACTAATTATTGAAGAGGCAATGTTTTTTCCAATGTAAATTTTTTACTCCCTTGGCAAATATCAGGTAACTAAGCATATGGGTTTCTAGTCTATTCCATTGGTCTTCAATCCTTTTTTCCTGCCTGTACCAAACTGTTTTTGTTGTTTTAGCTCTGCAGTGAAGTTTGAGGCTGTGATATGGTTAGCATTGCATTTTTTGCCTAAAATTGCATCAGATCTTGTTGTTCCATATGAATTTTTTTGGATTATTTTCTTTATCTTGGTGAAGAATGTCATTGAGATTTTGATGGAATTATGTTGAATTTGTAGATCACTTTTGCCATTATGGCCATTTTCCTGATATTAATTCTACTTGTCCATGAACATCTTTGATTTCTTTCTTCAGATTCTTTTTTTTTTTTTTTTAACTATATTCCTTTTTTTTTTTTTGGTTGGTTATAGGGCTTGAACTCAGGGCCTGGGCGCTGTCCCTGAGCTCTTCAGCTCAAGGCTAGTGTTCTACCACTTGAGCCACAGGGCCTCTTCTGGTTTTTGAGTGATTAATTGGAGATAAAGAGTCTAACAGGGACTTTTCTGCCCAGGCTGGCTTTGAACCATGATCTTCAGATCTCAGCCTCCTGAGTAGCTAGGATTACAGGCGTGAGCCACCAGCCCCCAACAATATTTTTTTTTGAGGCTATTGCAAATGGAATTGTTTTCCTGATTGCCTTGCATGCATGAGGCCCTGGGTTCGATTCCTCAGCATCACATAAACAAAAACAAAAAAAGCCAGAAGTGGCTCTGTGGCTCAAGTGAGTCCTAGCTTTGAGCTGAGGGACAGACCCAGGCCCAGAATTCAGGGCCCCCACCACTGACAAAAAAAAAGAAAAGCCACTGATTCTTTTGGTTTGTTTTTTTTTTTTTGGGGGGGGGGGGTCCGGTCGTGGGGCCTGAACTCTGGGCCTGGGCACTGTCCCTCAGTTCTTCAGCTCAAGGCTAGCGCTCTACCACTTGAGCCACAGCGCCACTTCCGGCTTTTTTCTTATGTGATGCTGAGGAATCGAACCCAGGGCCTTGAGCATGCAAGGCGAGCGCTCTACCACTGAGCCACCTTCCCAGCCCATCTTTTGGGTTTTTTATCCTACTACTTTGCCAAAGTTATTGGTCCGCTCTAGAAGCTTGAGGATGGAGTCTCAAGTTCTTTAGGTAAAAAATTTTGTCATCTGCAAATAGGGATAGTTTGATTTCTTCTTTCCCTATTTGAATCCCTTTTATACCTTTCTCTTGCCTTATAACTCTAGCTGAGAATTCCAGTTTTATACTGAAAAATGAGTGGAGATTGGACATCCTTGCCTTATTCTGATTTTGAAGGAAATGGTTTTAGTTTTTTGGGATTTTTTTTGCAATTTTTTTATTGTGATTAAGTAATTACATAATTTCACAGTATTATGGGATAGTGATGCTTAGTTAAAGTCATAAACATTCTATCCTTCATGGGGCAAATTGTCTATTGTGGTCTATAAAGTTTATGAGTTCTATGGGCTTTGACTGTACGTTATTTCTTCCACATTGGGTGATAGGTACATTCCTTTCCTTTTGCATAGTGTCAGCTGTTCGCTCTTTCCCACTCATTCCCTCCCTCCCATCGATGCCATTGAGTTGCTTAGTTTGTTTTGATCAATGTCAAGTGCAGCTGATGGGTCCCACTGTTGTATGTTTTCCCCTAGTTCTGTGTCCTCCTCCTAGTTTCCCTCCGATGTGCACATATATACCATTTA